AATTCCAGCTTTCTCCTGTGCTGCTTCAGTGAATGCTTGAGCAACATAATTCATACTATTAAAATGTATAAATGGATTCTCTAATAAGATTATTTAAATCTAAGAGGGAAAGGAGGGGAAAATGGCAGTTGGGTGGGTAGAGAAAAATAATCTCCTACCATTTCTAACTCGATATCCAGAAGTCTGCAGGGACCAAACACTGGAGGTTGGTCTGGAATTGGAACAGGAAGAAACAACCAATAAGCACATTATGACCAAGAGGGAAATGCAACAGAGATTTAAAATGCCTGACAAAGCACCTTGCTATGCATACATCAATTAATTTCCATTTGTCAAAGTGAAAGAACATTCCAGTGGGATATGACGAGACTCACCATCATCAGGCCTCATCTGCCCCAACGGCCTCCGAATCGGTGTCTTGGATACGACAATGGAAGAAGCACGGCCATGATAGCCAATGGGTAAGTGCAACCTTGGAAAAGACAAATGCTCATCAGCTTGATACAGACACATCACACAGACACATCACGCCATGGTTAGATGGCAAAAACAGGATTTGGGTCTCAGTTACAAACACTGGTTTGCTTTGTTCCCCTCCACCCCCTCTGCAGAGACTCAGCTGGTATCCCGGCCTGCATGTGGGACGAGCCAGAACAGTCATGTCTATCCACAATGTGAAAACAGAGTAGAAGACAAGACACTGCCTTACCTGAATCAGGCCACTGGTCTATCAGGGTCAGAATTTTCTACTCTGACTGGCAACTGTTCTCCATGGTCATTCTCAGGTACAGGTCTTTCCCATCACTGCCTACCTGGTCTTCTAAACTGGAGATGCTGGGAACTGAACCTGGGGCTTTCTGCATGCCAAGCAGGTGTTCTACCACCAAGTCACAGCACCTCCCCTAGTTAAGACATTTGCCACTACCAATGACCTTAAGTCAATTATTTAAAGGATGTAGAATCATAGAATCATAGAATGTTAGAGTTGGAAGGGACCTTGCAGGTCATCTAGTCCAACCCTCTGCACTATGCAGGAGCATAGCCCTACAACATACCCAAAAGATGAAAATGTCCAGCGAAGGAGCATCCACCACCTCCTGAGGCAGTCTGTTCCACTGCTCGACCGCTCTTACAGTTAGGAAGTTTCTCCTGATATTTAGCCAGTATCGACTCCCTTGTAATTTCCCATTAGATCTAGTCTTGCAATCGAGAGCAGAGAATAGATCCGCTCCATCTTCTACATGACAACTCTTCAAATATTTGAAGACTGCAATCATGTCCCCTCTAAGCCTTCTCTTTCCCAGGCTAAACATCATTTCATAGATCAGAATAGACAAATATTTGAAGCTCCCAGTTTTCATACCAAGGATTAACACCTGAACTCCTCTCACTTCCTGCAGGTACACACATTGCTGAAGTCCACAGAGCTGTTTTTGTTTAGCTTGTTTTTCTTATATCTGTGGTTTTGTTCTTTTGTTTGCATCAGCTGATAATCAAACCAATAAAAATGCCAAAAGTTCAAAGATGACAACACTATTAATAAAACCTCAGGAAAAAATACTGTGACAGAAAAAAAGATAGAGAGCTAAGTTTTAGCAGGGGGCTAAAAATACAAGAGCTGCAGTGGCTCAAGTGGTTAAGACGCTGAACTGCAGGCTGTGGAAGGTCAGTAGTTCAGCAGTACGAGACCCGAGTGTGCCGCATGACGGAGTGAGCTCCCGTCTCTAGTTCCAGCTCCTGCCAACCTAGCAGTTTGAAAGCAAGAAATTGCAAGTAGATAAATAGGTACCACTTCGGTGGGAAGGGAACAGCGTTCTGTGCGCCTTGGTGCTTAGTCATGCTGGCCACATGACCACGGAAATGTCTTCGGACAGCGCTGGCTCTTCGGCTTTGAAACGGAGATGAGCACCGCAACCCCAGAGTCGGATTCGACTGGCTTTTGAGCAAGGGAACATTTACCTTTTTAAAAATACAAGACAGCTTCAGCACCAAAAAATAGCTGGACAAGGAATGCCTACTGACATCGCATAACTGACAGCAAGCTCAGGAAAACAAATCATATGGTTTAACCTTGCACCTACAACTTCAAAGATTAGCCTCCACTGATTCCAACGCTGAGAAACTGCATTATTTGGTGAAAGATATACTTGAGGGGGGTGGAACTGTCTGATGATAAATTAACAACTGGATACATAAAATGGAAAGCATTAGACAGCGCCTTTAACATTCACGCTCATGCATTGTACACAGATATGCATGAAAGATGTAATACGATGTAATACACCCATTCTCCACTCAGAGGCTTATTTTGCAGAGTAGACGACTCCCTGAGAAGTGTTTGTCCAGCTGCTGCTTAAAGACTGCCAGTGAGCAGGAGTTCACCACCTCCCTAGGTAGCTGACTGTCAGGCTCAGTAAGCATTTTATGGTTTGCCTGCCCATAGAGGAAGGAGGAGGGAGAGAGGGGTGTGAAACCAAATGCTTCCTTTTCCTAAAGACTTTGTGATGTGTCACTGAGACCTGTTTTGCCTTGTTTCTGTAGAGGAATACGTGCTTGGGAGGGAAGAGTTGACTGTTGTTTCTGGTGGGCAAATGCCATGGGGTGATTGGGTCCTGATCTTTAGTGCCTTTATTTGAATCCGTTATATCTGCAACCTTCGCCACGTTCAACTTCAGTCCTAACAATAGATATGTCCAGGATGGTATCAATCAACTGTTTCAATAAAGTTAGCTTTCTTCAAACTGACTGGTGTTGAGAACTGATTTAGCCATGATCCTGACACTGATTCCACTGCTGAACAACTGTTACTGTAAAAAAAGATTTTCCTAATATCCAGCTAGTACGTTCCCGCCCTTAATTTAAAGCTGTTACTGAGAGTCCTATCCTCTGCTGCCAACAGAAACAGCCCCCTGCCCTCCTCTAATTGACAACCTGTCAAATACGTAAAGAGAGCAATCATGTCCCCCCCTCTACCTCCTCTTCTCCAGCCTGAACATTCCCAAGTCCCTCAGCCTTTCCTCATAGGGAATGTCATATGCTATCACCTCCTGGAGCCACACAGTGCCAGCTGGGAACAGCTTGTGTGTCTGCTCCAGTTCAGCCTCTAGATCCCACCTTCCCGTTTCCGCCAGCACACCTACATCTTCACAGGGAGACTGAGGCCCCAGTCACACGGGCAGGAAAATGCACGCGGGGGGGGGGAGGCGTGGCTGTTTGCCCCAGAGCAAAATAACACGCGGCTGCGCGATCAGACGTCTGGTAGAGGTCCCGTCGAGGTCCCATAGTTAGGGGGGAGGCGCCGGTCACAGGACAATCCTGCGGTGCTGCAAAGAAGCGGCCTCTCTAGCAAAAGGCTCTGCGGGTTTAACCCCTTCCAGGGCTGCAGAGGAATGCAAACTGTGTCCTCTGTCCGGTCCCCTCCAGGAGGAGCTTCAGCCAGGCTGCCCTCCCACCATGCCCCCCCTGCACCTCCCCCTCTGCCGCCCGGTGCAGAGAGTTCCTCTCAAGCAGGCTGAGCCAGGAGTGGGGGAGGTACGGAAAAGAGGAAGGGGCTGTGTTGTTTGTTTTTAAACGAAGTGTGCACATATACTGTTGGGTGCTTGTGCACATCCCGTGGAGACTTAAAAAAACACAACCTTTTAGCGACGGGACATGGGCAGGCGCCGGATGCCATGACCTACCACCGGAAACACGATCAGGTGCCCGCCCTTGCCCCGTGGTTTCTGGAAACTAGTACCTCGGAGATACTAGTTTTTTACCCCGCATCTTCGGTGGGAAGCCTCGGGTTTGCCACGGGAGCTCTATGCTTCCCAGATGTGGCGCTGTGATCGTGCCCAGAAAATCCGCCTACCCAGGGGTCATTTCCTGCAGGACCGCACAGGAGCGGAGCTCCGGCAGTAAAGAGCCCAGGGGGCAGGCACTTGCAACAAGCCCCACCCCCTGCTCTCAGTCAGAGCAAGAAGCAGCCAGGTAAGTTGCAGAGCTCCCCCCAGTCCAAAACAGTCCAGTGGCACCTTTAAGACTAAGTTTTATTCAGGTACAAGCTCTCCCTCCTCTGCAAGGACAGATCTGCACGTTCCCCCCCACACACAATAGCTAGCAATCCAAAACAGTCCAGTGGAGCCTGAGCGGTGGGTGTTGCCTTCTGACACACTTCCAGTTATGTCAGGGGGTGTGACATATGCAAATAAGTTATGCTAATGAGTTATGCTAATGAGCTCCTGCACCTCTTTTTCTACAAAATGACCCCTGCGCCTACCTTCCATCTCTGTAGCGTGGCTAATGCTCCGTGTGACCGCAGCCTGAGTGTGTTTTTCTACATTCAGCCACAGGGGAGGGGTTTTCTGTCTGGTATACAGAAGGTTCCAGTTTCAATCCCTGGCCTCTGCATCTAAAAGGCTCTGGTAGCAAATGGTGTGAAAGACTTCTGCCTGAGACCCTGGAGAGCCACTGCCAGACAGAGGAGACAAGACTGATCTCAATAGCCAAGTAGAATGCAGCTTCATGCACTCATGCCCTGGAGATTCTGGGGTGACAGAATGAAAACACTAACATTTCATGCCAACATAATTTAAACACAACATCTCCCCACCAGGCAAAATTAGTGTCATATACTAGAGAGACTGCTGGAACATATAAGAGCCAGTACTGTGCAATGATTAGGGTGTCAAGCTAGGATCTGGGTAATCCTAGGTTCGCATCCCCACTCTGCCACAGGAGCTTGCTGGGTGACCTTGGGCCATTCACATGCCCAGCCTCATAAGAGTTGTTGCAAGGATAAAATGGAGAAGTAGAGAATGCTGTAAGCCACTCTGGGGTATAAGTAAGGTAAATAAATGCAAGGTTTTAAAGCACTGCACAGCCACAGTCTCTGTGTTTACATCCTGATAATAAATTACCCACAGATTATACCCAAGTTCTAAAACTCTGAAATAAAATGCTGCCTCAGAGCAACAAGTACTGACCAGTTAGGCATCAATGCATTTTCTTTCCCTCTGAACATGATCCCAACATTAGTAGCATGTTGCCAGGAGGAATAGAAATCTGTGTAGTCTCCTGGAAGGAGAAGTTTTAAAAGATGCAATTAACTGCACATGTGAATTCTGAAACTTTTACAGAGTCCTGAGAAGCTGCAGGAAAAAAAACACAAAACTAAATAGAATAGATTTCTTTTCCATGACATTATATGAAGGTTATGAAATTGGGGGGGGGGGGGGGGTTCAACAATTGTGTTCCAGGCTTTTAGAAATGATGTGAAAGCCTCCAGAAAATAGAAAACTGCAGTCTGCTCTCCAGAATTTTGCTCTTCTCAGTTGTAGTTGTAAAACTAATCATAACAGATACTGATTCTATATTCCATACATTTACTGCCCTCTGGTGGCTTTTATGGGAAATGATTAAACTTTCAGTTAATTTTGACCTGTGCTTTCCTGGATTTTGGCTCTTTTGAGCAAGTAACTGGATGATCAAAATAAGAGTCATTTAAAGCAGGAGTCTTCAAATGGGAACAGATTCCTGACATTGCATATTTTATCCATTGTGGCTGCAGCAGTTAGTGTTGGACTAAAGCCTGGGACAACCCAGGTTCAAATCACTACTCTGCCATGGAAGCTTCCTGGGTAACCCTGAGCCACCCACATACCCAGTCTAACCTCCCTCACAGAGTTATTGTGAAGATAAAGGGAAGATGGGGGAGAATGTTGTAAACCACTTTTTGTCTCTGTTAGGGAGAGCGGTGGGGTATAAATGAATGTTTTAGTGGGTGGTGGTTCAGATGCAGCACCAAACCAATTTGGTGGTGTGTGTGTGTGTGTGTGTGTGTGTGTGTGTGTGTGTGTGTGAAGGGGCTTTGGCCTGCACTGTCCCTCCTTTCCCCATGCATGACAGCTGCACTGTTTGTTGTATATATTATACTTCCACTTTTTGTGCACCTTGGTTCTATAATGCAGTTGTATGCACTGTTTGCATGTACTGCATTACTGTTTAACTGTGAAATCCACCTTGGGTCTCCATGAGAAAGGTGGAATAAAAATGAAGTCAGTAAGAAGACATTAGCACAGTGGAGGACAGGCTAAGTTCTAACCTGTCCCCTGCTGTGCTCATTTTTTACTTGCAAGGAGTTTTTTTGTTTTTTATTTTAAGGAGCACTCAAAAATGGAATTGCCCCAACTACAATCTGAAGCATTACAGTCAAACCTTGAACTGATTTAAGATTCTACATTCTGCTGCACATATTGCCTGGGTTTATGTCACAGTCATGATTTCACCTGCCTGGAAGCTTAAGCAGAGGACCTCTCTTCTAAAAGCAATGAAGAGGCAGAGACAGGCAGGGGTGAAATTCATGCCACTTACTGATTTCAGCAAAAGGTGCATCACAGCAGAAGTCTGAGGTACAAATGCACTGAGAAACAGAGAAAGAAACAGTGAAATGTTGACAATCTCAAAAGAAAAACTTGAAACAGGTAATAAAGAAATATTGTACACAAATTGGTAAAAGCAGGCTCAGGGACAGGATCTTGCTGGGCTTCTTCTTACAGACCATCTTCAAGAAGAGGAGAAAGGAGGATCCGGGTAACTACTGGCCTGTCAGGTTGACGTCTAAAGCTGGAAAGGTTTTAGAATAAATCATCAAACGGTCAGGCCTTGAGCATTTAGAAAGGATGGCCACAATTACTAAGAGCCAGCACAGGTTCTTCAAGAACAAGTCACATCAGACTAACCTTATCTCCTTTTTTGAAAGAGTTACTACCTTGATGGATCAGAGGAATGCTGTGGACATAGTTTATCTTGATTTCAGTAAGGCTTTTGACAAGGTTCCATCTGTTGGTAAGATGTGGTCTGGCTCCTAATACTGTTAGGGTGATTTGTAACTGGTTGACAGATCACACCCAAAGAGTGCTCATTAATGCAGATGATGCTAAATTGGGAGCGGTAGCAAATACAGTAGAAGATGGAATCAAGATTGCAGGATGATCTTGAAAACTGGGCTAAAACTAACAAAATGAATTCCAGCAGAGATAAATGTAAAGTTCTGCATTTAGATAGGAAAATTCAAATGCATAATTATAGGATATGGGATCTCGGAGTCTTAGTAGACCATACACTGAACATGAGTTAGCAGTGTGATGTGGTAGCTAGGCAAATGCGATTTTGGGCTACATCAACAGAAGTATACTGCCCAGATCATGCCAAGTGATGGTATCACTTTACTCTGCTCTGGTTAGACCTCACTTGGAGTATTATATTCAGTTTGAGGCACCACAGTTTAAAAAGGATGTTGGCAAGCTGGAATGTGTCCAGAGGAGGGCAATGAAGATGGTGAGGGGTCTGGAGATGAAGGCTGCAGTTACACTGGAGGCTTGCCGTAATCTGGGCACGCCTCTCATTGCACTGGTTTAAAGTGTTGCAGGGCAGACGAACCAGACAGCACACCCTGGGATGGTTCCCCTGTGCACTCATCTGTTGGTCAGGTGTTCACATTACTGTAGCACCTCAACCACCAAGTATGCTGTCTAGTCAGGTTTTTTAATGCAGGTGGGTGCATGCACATATGTGCTCATGTGCATACACACATATAGGAAGCAACTCCAAAAGAAGGAAACCAGTGGTGGAAATGGATCTGCGGGTTCAAACTTCCCTTCCAGGTTCCTTTCACAGCAGAAGAGTTCAGACATCCGGGAAAGCAGAGTGGAAATGCTGGCATCGATTAATATCAGACTTTCCCCGGTGCCTGATTACTCCGCTTCCAAACTGGGGCAACACGGAGTGCCAACGGCACGGAAGGCAGATGTTGTCATCTGATCGTGCTCTTTAAATCTGCAAAGGTAATGCTACTATATTGTGGCAAACTGCAGGAGCTGGAGAGGAGACAACTGAGAGGTGGTAGATAGCTGTCATGGGTACTGGCTCTGCTGAGGCTGACTACTCCTCAGATGAGAAAGAGGCATGGAACAACCCAGCCTCCGCTGGAGTCAGCCCAGAAGAGGAATGCTTAATAGTACCTGAGGGAGAAGAGGCCCCAGCAGCTGCACAGGAGGTGTAGCCAGAGGGAGAGACTGATCCAGAGCCTGGCCCAGCACCCCCAGGTGGAGATACCCTGAGGCCAGAATCCCCACCTAGTTCTCCTGAGTAGCTGAATGCAAGAGCGAAGGAGGAGTGCCAGACTGCAGCTCTTGCAAAGGCAATGTGAGGGGCTCTGAGTCTTGGCAGATTGACTCCCAGGGAAGGGAGGACCTGGTCATAAACACCGCCATGCACCTGCCTCAGCGCAGAAGCAACTGTGTGTGCTCGGACCTGATCCTGCCTGATAGTCTCCAGTTCTTGCTCCTGCATCCTTTGACTGATTTCCTGGCTTTCTGACCTTTGGCTCTGTTGCTCGACTTGATTTTGGACTGCGTATCCAGTTTCCAGTGCATGGTATCTGTGGTGATTGGCTGACCCAGCACAATAGCCATCTTCAAGTATTTGAAGGGCTGTCATATAGAGGATGGAGTGGAGTTGTTTTCTATTTTTCCAGAAGGTTGAACCAGAACTAATGGACTGAAATTAAACCAACAGTGTTTTGGGCTAAACATTAGGAAGAACTTCCTGACTGTTGGACTGGATGATCCTTGAGGTTCCCTTCCAGCTCTGTTTCTATGCCCCCTGTTCTGTAGAATTCTAGAACAGGGCTAGAACTCAAACCAGTGTCTGAAAATCTGGCATAAAGATGATGGATTTCGATGGAAGCAGAACATTCAAATGCATGGAGGAGAAGGAAGGGAGGGGCCCAACAGCAGACACATCAGTGATGTGTTGTTGTGTTTAAAGTGTAGGACTAGGAACTATGAGACCAGGTTTGAATCCTGGCTCTCCACTGGGAGCTTGCTGGGTAACCTTAGGCCAGTCACATACTCTCAGCCTCATATTCCTCACAGGGTTTTTGTGAGAACCAAGGGTGCTGCCCTAAATTCCACAGAGGAGGGGTGGTCTAAGATGGTAATTGTGGACAAATATGTTTGAGCCAAAGTACTGATTTGCTGGTATTCAAAGGCTAAATATGGTGCAATGTGTCTATTTATATGCCAAAATTCTGCAAAAAGGATATCCAAGGATTTGCCCCGCAAGAAGGATGGATCGGGGGCGCATCAAGCTCACACTGCAACATCTGGGAAGTGTCACGCACCCATCCCCGATCCGGCCCTTCGGCCCGAAAACGCACATTTAAAAGGTACTACCTTTTGAGCACTACCTTCCGGATGATGCGCGGCAACTCCAGGTGTCTGGTTGGGGAAGCGCTGGTAGCCCGTCGCAGCCAGCACAGTTCCCTGTCCCATGCATGTGCACAACCGCGCTATTGCCGGTTTGCTGCACAACGTGTGATTGGCTGCGGAGAACAGAGCCGCTGGGGCATGTTGGATCGTGCTCCTGCGGTTCTTTTTGCTCCAGCTCTAATTTGCCTCCCTTCGGCAGCGGATCATCCCGCTCGTGTGACCAGGACCCATGTTTTGCAACCTGCACAAGTTTTGCAAACCTGCATTGATTTAACTTCCATGGTTTCTGTTGTATTGTAAATGTTATTCTGCTTGGTGGGGATTGGGGTAGGGAATTGTCCAAGGCATAAGAGCTTCATCCTCTGCTGGAAATCTTATTTAGCCATTTTTCGGTCTTCTGAAATTTCAGGAGCCATCACCCACCTTCTTTAAAGTATAGCTTTGCAGCTATATGGTCTTGAAACTTTAAAAAAGCAACAACCACATCTCAACATCTTTGACAGCCAAATTCCAAGACCATGGCTACATTCCACAGCTTTTCAGAGTTTCTGCAGAATCCCAGCTCTCACACACAACCAACCCTAGGTGCCCCTCAGTTCTTTTACCTTTTGTGTAATTCCACATTATCTCTCAGTGTTGGCTCGTTGGCAGAGAGCAGCTTTTGGAGAAACACTCTGGCTTCCCTCCAGGCTTCCCAGCCTAGTCCCATGAAATGGTTCAGGGTTGGCTGCAAAGGAGGGAAAATTAAAGCCCATGCATTGTCTCTTCCCTTACCTATGGCACCAACGTCATTGTCCATGCTGTGGAACAAAGGAGGCTAACTGTGCATGGATGCACAAAACAGATACCACCAGACCAACCCATATCACTCAAAATCAAACTTGCAATTCATGAACAATTGTTTACCAATAGAAAATGTCAATTCCATGTCAATCAGGGGTAGGAGGGGCTATCATTAATCGAAAGAATGCCTACTTTGCATGCAGAAGGTCCACAGGTTCAATCCCCAGTTTAAAAGATTAAAAAGATGAGACCCCTGAAAGCCATAGCTCTTCAGAGTAGATATCACTGACTTTGATAAAGCCATATCAAGTGCCTGAACATATTTCACTTTAGGGTAGGGCCACAGCTTAGTGGTTGGTGTAGTGTAGTTAAGTGTGTGGACTCAATGGTTTGGTGTAGTGGTTAAGTGTGTGGACTCTAATTTGGTTTAGTGTAGTGGTTAACTGTGTGGACTCTAATTTGGTTTGGTGTAGTGGTTAAGTGTGTGGACTCTAATCTAGTTTGGTGTAGTGGTTAAGTGTGTGGACTCTAATCTGGTTTGGTGTAGTGGTTAAGTGCGTGGATTCTAATCTGGGAGAAATGGGTTTGATTCCTCACTCCTCCACTTGCAGCTACTAGATGACCTTGGGCAAGCCATAGTTCTGTCAGAGGCGTTCTTGAAAAGAGCAGTTTCTGTCAGAGCTCTCTCAGCCCCACCTACCTTACAGGGTGTCTGTTGTGGGGAGGGGAAGGAGGAGGAGTTTGTAAGCCGCTCTGAGACTCCAAGTGAAGGGTGGGGTATAAATCCAATCTCTTCTTCTTCTTGCTTTTTATGCAGAAAGTACCAAATTCAGTCCCCAGCATCTCCAGTAACAGAAGAAGAAGAGATTGGATTTATACCCCACCATTCACTTGGAGTCTCAGAGCGGTTTACAAACTCCTTTCCCATCCCCTCCCCACAACAGACACCCTATGAGGTGGGTGGGGCTGAGATGATGGGGAAGACCTCTGCCTGAGACTCTGGAGATCTGCTATCAATCAGACTAGACAATAATGATGTATTCCTCTGGCATTCCAGTATCTCAGGCAACAAAGGTCATTATTTAGGTTTGCGGGGGTCTCTCCATTGACCAGCCCATTTCTCCATTCCTCAGTGAAATCCTCCCAAACCTAGTCACCAGCGTCATTGTCTTGTTAAATACCTGGTTGAAGACATGGGGATGTTTTGAAAGGATTGGTCCATCAAACAGGTGCTTAATGGCACTGAGATCCAGCACTTGGTTGCCAATGGCTACTCCAATCCTGTGCCTGGGCTACAAGGAAAGGTCAAGAATTAGTTAACAGTAAAGTTTTTTTTAAAAAGTGCTCCCCCTTCCCAACCCCAATGTCCATAACTATAATAGTGAAGTCATAATAGTAAAGTGGAGAGTCACTGTGTTGAATGATGACAGGGGTCTCTGCTTACTCATGGAGCTCCCCAGGTGTGTAGAAAATTGGACTTTGTAAATTAATACCCCTCAAAAGCTGGCATGAGGAGGAATGGAAATCTCCAGAGGGAACTTGAATGTTGGCAGAAGCTGAATGTCAATTAAAGAGAAGAAAAGCGTGGTAGAGAAAGACAGCCATTTTCTCAAGCTTACTGAAGGGGAAGATTTTAGGGAGCTGGGGTGGATTTCCTAATTATTCCATCTAGTGATTTCTTATCCCTCACCAACTTGCAATGCAGACTTTTTGGCATGGAATATGGAGAGCTGCAGGGCACACAGGTTTAACAGGTAGGAATGTAGCATGCACACGACACTGGTTGTTTCCCTTAGTTTGCCAATTCACACGTTACAGAGTTTACAGGTTGGGTCTTGTGTCAGAGTCACATGCAAGTTTCAGGTTCTCCTCAACTGCTATATGTGTGGTGCCTGATTTAGATTGTGACTGTGGTGCGCATGGAAAAGCGGCCTTCACCTTAGCCCAACTTGCAGTGCTCCCAGGTTTCCCCAACAGGCCCAAATAGTCCCTAGAGTCAGTCAAGCGAGGCAAATGGCATTGGGGTAGGGAGGCTAAAGGCCCTTCCCCATGCACACCACAGTCCAGTTCCAAACCACACACACATGGAAACGGTTGAAAACCCACAACTCACCTGACAGACACAGGGTGAGGACCCCAGAGCCAAACTTTATATTACGTAACATGTGACTTGGGAGAGCCAAAATCATCTCTATTCAGACATCTCCTTGAAAGCAGAGGGAGGGAGGACAAGACAACTGGAAGCAAGCCAAGATCATCTTTAATCTTGAAAACCTGATTCTAAAAAGTTTGCTTAGCCACATTCCTGCAAAGAGATGAGTTAATTTCTAAACTGCCAGTTATCCATTAAGTCATAGGCTCCTGCCACATGGTTAAGTCACTGTCCTCGATTTGCTGTTTGGGAACGCTTTTTAAAAAGTTACTGCAAACCCCTAGGGTTGGCTTTTCTTTGGTTTTCAGACCCTGAAAGTTAAAAATCTGAGCAGGGACAGAGCAGATGCATTTTTAACTCTAATGCACACACATATGTAAATGTACACGCATGGCCATTAAAGCACCATAAGGTGCACAATTGGCTACTGGCATGATCTCTTCCCCTCCTTTATCTTCACAACACCTCTGTGAAGTAGGCTAGGCAAAGATTAACTAGCCCAAGGTCAGTTAGTAAACTTCATGACAAAATGGGGATTTGAATCTTGAATCTTCATCTTAATCTGACATGCTAAGGTTCTATATTATAGGACAATGTTGTTGTTTTTTTAGAATACCTTTCTCTCAGAGAACACTCTTGGGTTTTGAATCCCATGCACTGGACTGAAGATGGTGCAGCTGTTCTCCTCTGCCTCCCCCTTGTTTGCCTTTCCCCAAAGCACTGGTGTACTAAGGTTTAGTAACTTGGAAACTGGGCAAATTCCCTCCCCCTTCACAGGGATAGTTTTACCACAGACTGCTGATATATTGCTTCCCCTGCCCCTCCCCCCCTGCACTAATCCAGACAGTAAATGCTGCTTAACACACTTGTAAAACAGATGCAGCTGAATCAGCCGTGCTATGACAGAGATGGAGATGGCAGCCATGATCTCTGATGCACCAATAGGGGTATTAGAGATTAATGCATTTTGCCGTGGACTATATATTTAGCCTAATGGACTAAAAGACCCTGACCTGGATGGCTCAGGCTAGCCCAATCTCATCAGATCTCTGAAACTAAACAGGGTTGGCCCTGGTTAGTACTTGGATGGGAGACCACCAAGGAAGCCCCGAGTTGGTAAAGAGCCAGGCAAAGGCAAACTGCCTCTGAACGTCTCTTGCCTTGAAAACCCTACAGGGTTGCAGTTAATTCAATTGCGACCTGCTGGCATTTTATGTCACCAATGAACTAAGAAGTATGAAGGAACATCCCTGTTATTACCTCCGGTAGGCAGAAAAGCATGCCCCACGTAGCCCCTTTGCCGTACAGTAGAGGACAAAATTGGGCTTCTCTGTTGCTATAAATGAATATGCCCAATAGATTTGATGAAGTGAGCTTTCTAGCTTGCCAAAGTTGATGGCTGGAATAAATTTTGCTAGTCTCTCAGGTGCCCCTTGGAGTCCCATTTCATTTTGCTGCAAACAGCTACCCGAGCAGGCACTGATCTCACTTTATTTCTCTGAGCAGAGTACTATCACCACAACAAAATGAACTCACCTCCCTTCACCTTTGGATCACACAGATGGCCTGTTTTAGCCCTGAGCAGGGACAGAGTGTCTGTCACTTGCTGTTTTCTGCAGTGCCCAAGTTCCTTTGTAATGGAACCTGGTTTCTTATACAACTTTAAGACTAAAGCTAGAGATGTGTGCAGGGTGGGTGGGTGCAGGCTTACTCTGCGCCATTTGCTTGTTTTGCTGCTAACTTCTCCCTTTCCAGATGTTTGGCTACTAGGATAGGAGCTGGCTCACTGGAGACAGGGGAGTTGGGGTTATGAAAACATCAGACCAGGACCCAGGAGAACCAGGTTCAAATCCCTACATGAAGTTCTTTGGGTGACCTTAGGCCAATCACGCAATCTCTGTTTAACCTAGTTCAGTGTTGTGAGGACAAAATGGAGTGAGAGGAAGATAACAGACATCACCCTAAGTACTTGGGAAAGGGTGGAATAAAAACATATTAAAATAAGAAATAGATATCTGTGGAGGTGTTCTAATTCCTTACTTCTCACTATCAAACTTGGTCAAATTAAATTTTGGGCACAACAAGAACCTATGAAGTCTACTGAGAGGATAGAAAGAAGAGCAAAGACAGAAAAGGCAAGTGGATGCCTTTAGTATCAACTCTCTTGAGGGGAGAAAAGTGCACTAGCTCCCAAAGAGATTAAGGAAGCTGTCATGATGTCTCTCGTTAACGTATTTTTTTTGTTGGACGGTTGGTTTCCAGAGTGGGTATCAAATGAACATCGTGTTCTTTACAGTGCAGTGACAGCCAGCATGCCGTGGTGGCTAGGGCCTGGGAGAGGCAGGCTCAGATTGCCTTTCTGCCATGGAGGTTTCTGGGTGACCTTGGGCCACTCATGCTCTCTCAACCTAACCTACATCAAAGGGCTGCTGTTGTGCGGATAAAATGGAGGAGAGAGGAACCGTGTTGTAAGCTGCTTTGGATCTCCACTGGAGGGAAAAAAAGCAGGCTACAAATAAGTTTTAAAAACGGCAGCTCCTATTTCAGGATTATATCCCCAAAGAACAGACAATGATGCTCCAATGGGAAACACAGCTTGCTGCGACTCACCCCTCAGCTGCCAATCAGCTCCTCTTCTTTGGGTTACTGGATGGATGCTCTTAGGACTGCAAAGCCTGAACATGAGGTTTTCATATCCATATGAAGACACAACATGCCTAAGAAGAGGTAGGATCCTGTTCTTATGGGGGCATTCTGCCCTGCTCTGCTCGCCATTCAGTCAGCGCTAATTTTCTTCCTCTTTGGCATTCCAGGTGCCAGCTGCAAGGTGGCTGCAGAGAGCCACCATGGGCCCCAGGGCAAAGCTGGGGCCCCAAACTGTTTGTTGGAAAAGTGAGCTCCATTTCCCATGGCCAATCTTTCCTTACAAACTGGGAACCAGTTAAACACACTCACATTTAAGACAGGATATCCACCATGGCAGAAAGGGAAGGAAAGAAAGGTAGATTTCAGACAGTTGTTTGGGGATAGAGGCAGAGAGGAATGACCAAGTTGGAGGATCTATTTGCAAGTGCAAAGTCTTACCACTCTCTCCCCCCCCCCATCAGCAGCATTAACTACTACTTGGTTATGGTTCTGCTTGCAATGAAAGCTACCACTGCACAGCTTTCACCAGGTCTTTAGAGGCGGGGCGAGGTGGGGGGACGGAATTGTCAATTCCAACATAAGGTTAAAATGCAAAAAAAGTGTTGTGATTTCTAATGTCACCCAGACAAAGCTTCCAGTCAGCCACCCACTTTCCCCTTGCCTTTTCCTCAAAAGCCCTTGACGGCTGGAGCAGCTAAAAAGTTAGAGAAGGACTTACTTGGTCCTTGGTGGAAAAAACCCCGTATGGCAGATTCTGAATGGGAAAGTCTGAATTCTCGTCCACATGAATAAAAGACATTTCCAGCTCCTGTTACATCCACAGCCGAACAGGGAGGCTAGAAAGAGGCTCACCAGATGTTGTATTTGAGTCTGTGCATTGAATGAGCCCCCCCCCCTTCAGCATCAAAACCAATCAGATCTCATCATTCTGACTCCACCCTTCTCTGGATTGCGGGCTTGGACAATTAATGAATACCAGAGGTCGCTATGAGTCAGCAGCAGCCTTCGCCACGTGGTCCCCCCCCCCCCCGGAAAAACTATACAGAAGTGGAGTTGGGTATCCTAGCTTTATGGAGGGCATGCTCCTTTCTTCCAGACTTCATAAATGATGGGGACATGCACTTTGTGTACAAGCAATTCATAGACAGCAAGGCCAGCACAGTATGTAAGACAGCCACATGACACATTTGTGCACAGAGGTCCTTCAGCCAGAGGTGCAACTTGTGATTTTTCTTTTGCTTTGTTTGCACCAACCACATACAACTTAATCAAATTACACTGGCTCAGTTCGCATTCTACAAGTGAGGGGCTTATCAACCACAAGATGGTATATGCAGATAGCATCTTTTGAGATGGGGTAAAGGCAAACAGACCCTGACCTGGATAGCATAAGCTAACCTGGTTTCATCAGATCTTGGAAGCTAAGTAGGATCAGCCATTGAATACCCAAATTGCTACACAAAGGCAAGCAATAGCAAACCACCTCTGAATATATTTTGCTTTGAAAACCCTATAAAGGCAAACAGAACATGCCATGTCTCTGTTAAACGACTCTGCCACAAACAGGTTACATTCTCATCCTTGATGTCCCACCTTGCAACATTCATATTGGCTTACCTTACAGGGCTGTTGGAAGGATATATGCCAATGGATTTGAACACTGAACGTAGTAATATCCACACAGATATGTTAGAGTAAGCTGTAGAAGGTCCTGTGATCCCTCCCAGCAGATTGAGCAAAAGGACCTTCCTTACCCTGCACAGCATTGTGGGATGACTTTGTAGAACTGCCACAATGGCAGAGAAGGGCCATTTCTTCCCTATCACAGAGCAGGCTCCAAAACAAGCTCCAGACTGCGTCCAGTCATTTCCTCTAAGTATCTCCCTCCATCATCATTCCTAGCTGCTTCATGCCCTGGAAGTCTTCCATGAAGGTAAAGGAGCAGCAGCAGGGCTGCCGAGAGCTACCATGAGCCATATGACCCTGATCCAAACCAAATACCATAACAAAACAAATCACTTGACTTCCTGTTACCATGACTCTCTGGTAACAAAATAATCAGCCTGTCTGTCCATCATTTTTTAAAAAAAATAATTTTATTTTATTTATATCCTGCCTTTCCCCCCAATGGGGATCCAAAGTGGCTTACATCATTCTCTTCTCTTCCATTTTATTCTCACAACAACCCAGTGAGGTAGGTTAGGCTGAGTGTGTGTGACTGGTCCAAGATCACTCAGCAAGCTTCCATTGCAGAGTGGGGATTTGAACCTGGGTTTCTTATACTTTAACCACCACACCACACTGGCAGGGATAACTCATCAGAGAATACAACTAGGAGACTCAAAATTGGCCGCCACCTTCAGGATGTTTGTGGGAGTTACAGGGCCAAAATGAAAAGATATGGGGGAAATCCTGGCCCAGGTGAAACAAACCACTACCACCACCCGAGCTGTTTGCAATGGAAGCTAAGGGTCTGTACATGTGGCACGCATAACTCAGAAAATAATGCTACATGTCTGAAAACTGGCCACCAACTCTAGAATGATGACAGAAGTTGCAGTGTCAAAAATGAAGGGTAACCAGGTTATATTCATGACAAGCAACATGTAATTTTAAGCAACCTTTCATGTGTCTCTAATACTCATATTCCCAGCCCACCATGGAAGGTTGCTGAGTGGCACACTCTCAGCCAGACCTACCCCACAGGGTTGTTGTGAAAATAAAATGGAAGACAGGAGAACAATGCAGCTCTGGGTCTCCACTGGGGAGAAAGACTGGGTATGATATTTGTTATAAATATAATTTTAATGATTACATCACTTGTCATATAGTAAAGTAGCCTTTACAAAGGGCTATTAGATCTTCCACCAATACAGTAATAATAACAATGTACCAGTGCCTGAACTGGGAGTTCTAGGCTGTGGTCAGACAACAGGCTTGGTGTACTCTGGCCACACCTCTTTTTTTAACAGTTTATTTTTCATTTTTTAGGGTATCATATATTTCTTCCATTCTCAAACATTCCATGACATATTGTAGCCTTCCTCTCTTATCTTAAACATTTTTCTATCTTAACCTGTCTTTAGTCCAGTTTTTTAATTCCATGTCATCTTCAATCATTCTTGTACACAGTCATTTACTTTCTAATACATCATCTATCATTTTAGCTAGCCTATTTCCATGCTATTCTATCTTTTTCATCTTTAGCCAGTCATAAATTAATTTCCATCTATCCCAGAAGCAGTCTTGAGATTTATTTTGTAGTTCCACATTCAACTTATCCATTTCTGCTATTTCTAGGATTTTGTATTTAAGTTCCTTTATCGACGGTATACCTTTCGTTTTCCAGCGCTTTGCTATTAATATTCTGGCTGGCTGTTAAAATGTAACAAATTATCCGGTTGTGTTCTTTTATTGTGTCTGGCATCATGTTCAGTAGGTATGTTTCTGGTATTAACGGGAGATTGATTTTTAATTTATCTAATCGAATTTTATGATTTTTTTTCCAGAATATCTGAATTTTGTTACATCTCCACCAAATGTAGAGATAGGAACCTATATTTTTCCCACATCTCCAGCATATGTTAGATTACTCTGGCCACACCTCTAATTACACCATTTTATTTTGTCACAGGGAGTTTTGATCAGATATCCCACCCTGAGCCAGCTTCACCGCATGCTCATCCTGTAGCCGACCAGATTATTGCTGCGTGTCAACCTTTTTAAAATTTGTTTTTCACTCATGCACATAAGCACATAGTCGAAGCACTGCTCCTTTTTGACAGCTTAGCTCTGCCAGAAATCAAGTGGAGGTACCAAAGTGACAGCTCTGGCCCTGCCCCCTTAAGGCCATGCCTTCAACCACCTGGCAAGATGGTGGCAGCTGGTGGTCAATGGGATTACTGGAGGAGGCTGCTGGGCTATGTAGTGCAGTGTGCAGGAAGTGTTTTTGAAACTGTGCTTTGGAGTTTTTCTTAAGAAAAACACAGTCTTGAGAAACTCCCATGAGACAGACAGAGAGAGCTCTGTAAACTATCTGTAAAAAATAAACGTGCAAGCAGTTAACTGAAGACCCAGGGGCAATGCGCTTATGCACACACTGCCCGCTACCTGATTGGGGGGAGGGATTAAACGTCAGGAAGGTTCACACTCCCAGCTGGCTTGATTTTGCAACAGGGGAGTTCAGATATTCGGAAATGCAGGGTGAAAGTGCAGGCATCCATAAAAACTGGATAACTCTGATTCCAAGGTGGGTCAGAACGGGGTGGCACCGACTGGTGAATGGGAGACAGATGTCACTGTCTGATCATGCACTTTAAATCCGGAAGGGAACAATGACATTGTATCAAACTTCTCATCTGACCACAGCAATAACTTTTGTTCCATGTTATAACCACTAAAACAGATTACTGTTCCATTACCATGCATGTAAAGGGTATAGAAGAGGGGACACATCCTTTTACTACTTTGTTAGATCACAGGGAAATATTAACTCCTCCCCTTCTGTTCATTACAGAAATCTCATAACCAGTGTTCTGAGCCTAGGACCCAGGGGAAAACATGAAATGGCTAAGCACTGCTAGCTTTTGTACATAAGTTGCTTTATGTGCTGGTCAAGAACATGAGAAGGCATCCTGAAACAGACTGAGAGCTATGCATTTGTCTACAAAACTTCTTCCCCAGAGAAATAACTACAACTTCCTACAAAGGAAATGTGTTGGGTGAACTTGGTCTGGACACACAACGCTCAGGTTAATCCACCTCACTGGCTTATTGTTATTCCTCCTCTAAATAGTTCACATTGCTTTCTTACTGAAAAAACTGGATCATGAGGGCATGAATACAGTGATAAAGAGGAGGCAAACCCACTTGTACCCAGGAGAGCATTGGGATAAGGAGCCCCCCAAAACACACACACACACACACACACACACACACACACACACACACACTGTAACAAGGCCCACAAAAGCTCACACCTTGAACAAAACTTTGTTGGTCTTAAAGGTGCTTGGTATTTCTCCCGAGCGATTGAGGCAGCCCAGGAAAGCAAGTTCTCCCTCATTCTCTACCTCCCTTCAGGGAGGAGCCTCAGACAGTGGAAGGAAACAAAGGCTTCCCTTTGTCTCCTGTACAGGATTGAGGCCAGGAAACCAGATCTAGATTGTTTCCTCCCTCCCCCTGGGAGGAGGGGGAGGAGCCTCAGCCAGTGCTTTACCAGACTCTCTCAATCGCACAGGAGAGGCTTGCCTATCTGTTTCTCCTGTGTAATTGAGTCTGATAAAGCAAGCTGCGATGTGACAGCAGCAGCAGAACTGGGGAAGGAAGCAGGAAACAGCCAGGTTCTTGTAGGCTGGATTGGAGCCCTTTGAGGGCCTGATCTGGCCCATGGGCCACATGTTTGACACCTCTATTCTAGCTGATACTAGAGTGCCTTTTACTGTGCTCAGGTTTCCTTGTGCTCCTAGTAGCTTTTGCCATAACTGTATTTAAAAATTAATTTAAAGACGTTTCTTTGGAGGCAGAATGACGCTGACTTCAAGAGCCCTCAGAATTTTGTCCCCCCCAGTTGGTATCCATGAGCAGCAGCATGTAGAAAACAGCTTTAGCACTTGAAGCCTCCTGGTACCAAAAGCCAACCAATTATCTTTGACATGTCAGTCTTATCAGGAAAATCCTTAAGAGCTGCCAGGAATCTATCACTCTTGGGGGACAGCCTTTAAATAGATCTCCCACCAATGCAGGAGCTATTAACCTCCATAAACCTTAATTTCATCAGATATGATCTCTTGTCCTTAAGATCTGCACACATCCAGATAA